TTCGATATGAGAAAAAGGATAATCTTGGTGAACAGGTTGTAGAATCCAATCAACAAGCATATTGGGCGTAGCTACAAAGATTCCTTCGGTCACTCTTTTGTGATGAGCCTGAGCGAGGGTCCTCAAGTGCTCTGAATTTTTCTCCTTTTGTAGGTAAAGTTGACATATGGATCTGTGGATTGCGAGAAGTGCATATAATTTCTGACTACTAGCACTGGAGATGTTGACGGTGATATAATCGGGCCCTAAAACTGCGCCTCTCTCAGTGGTTTCTATCGCAAGTGGAAATATGAGAGGGCAGACCTCCAGGGAGTTCTCACCAACGGGGATTTCTGGGTCCGAAGGGGGGTAGGAGGTGTGGTTGTGGTAGATCGGAAAAGTCCCTTCATATTACAGTGTACACGACGAGGATTAATAAAGTTTGCATTGGTCCATATCTTTTAACCGTAAGGTAAACCATTCAATTCGGTTTATTAGTTATTCAAAGGAATTGGTTTTAATTTGTATTCTTAAGGAAATCCACGCTTCTAACTTTCTACTTGTCACAGATTCCATGGAATACTTCTTGTCTGATGTCATTTATGGCGTTTAGAAAAGCCTGATTGTCCGCGTTGTATGTAACCTTCTTTGTGGGTATATCGTTGTCGTTGATATCAATGACAGTTTTCACTTTGAAAAAATCGATTTGTGGAAGAGAGTTGTTCTTGCAGAAACCACCTCGCAAGAACGTTCCTAGATCTTAACAAGTTGTTGATGGTTGTTCCGTACTAGAGGGACGTCTTTAAATAAGGCTTCTAGGAGGCTGCTGCGCGTGGGAGTAGTCGACCCTGCTGCTTACGGTGAACTAAGCAGTCTGTGTACTACAGTTCTTCAATAAATGTCGTATTTCAATATTTTTTACGCAACCCGTCTTCACATATACTGTGCGGTTCTGAGCTCTTTTTCCATTCGATTCATTTCCTCGAATCCATTATTCATGAAGCTCTTCGGGCTTTTGTGTGGTGCTTTTACTGTTGCCTGACGATTTGTGTCCTCGTCATGATTGTCGTTAAATATTCATCGAGCCGCTTCTCTATAGAGCGTTGTCATCGTGGCGTAGCCAGAATAGTGCATTCCCACCAGAATTGTGGGGTTTGAACTGGTGTCAGAGATGTCTAGTACCAATTCCCCGACCCTGCAGGGATGAGAGGCTTGGTAGATCTCGTGAGTGGCAGAATTGAACCAGCAGCACCGTGATCATAATGAACGGCATCACTGCTGCTGCGTTACCCTCACCAGTATTTCAACAGACCTTTAAATTTGTTCTCTTGAAATGCGACTTTTTGTTGGTAACTAGTATCTAGAGAGTGCTTGGACCGATCAGTAAACGCGCCATTCCACGAGGTGGTGACGAATTGGGGATTCGTCGTAACCAAGACATCACCTTCCATTCGTCTCGTCACGTGGCTTTCTGCGCCTGGCAGTTTTCCTACGAATTCATCCTTCTTTTCGTTCTTCCTGTTTTTGTCGTTGTTTTTTTTATTTTTATTTTTTTCAACACTGCATTCTTTCGAATTCGCTCATGTTTTTACGATAGTCTTATTTTTGGTCTCATGAGAAGACTATTCTATATAGTCTCAATAAAAAATAACACGTTCTTTCCTGGTCAAGGGACCCGATCGAGCTCAATGGTCCTATGGCTAAATATTCTTCCTGGACTGAATTGAAGTTATCTCTTATAGAAGGGGACCTTCTTAGAAACAAGTATAGTAAATCTGTTTCTATGCATTATGCTATTTATTTATTTACGTTTTCCTACGTGGCCCGACTTCACATTTCCTCCGAATCCCAATGCCTTCATTTGGCTCGTTGTCTCGCACGTGGATTTGACCAACGCTAGGGAAAAACTCTTGTTCATGAATATCGTCTGATAGACGTTTAATAGTGGGCGAGTAGTTGGAACACGCAAACACGATCTTTTTAACAAGAGTAGGCCTTACTAATGATGTAAGTAGGGTAGATTAGAGGGGTCTTATATATCAAGTGGAATGCCCTACTCTTAACATTTATCGACCTTAATCAATGGGAAAACCAATGGTTTACTTCTTCCTTGATGAGCAGACACGAGGTTTTTATATCATTTATGCACTGCAGCTGACGTCTCGGCGAATTTCGCCTACTTCGAAGCCTGGAAAAATAAAGTCGATGTGCAATCTTCTTCTGAAAAGTACTTCCATACTTCCCCGCATACCAGCCAAATACTTATATGAGCTGTCCATCTCTGGTTCGTATTCTGCTGCCTAGATTGCCTATCAAGAAAACAGTGAATGATTAATCAATGCTGAGGTCAACAGGAAGTGATTCTTGAGAAAATGAATTGTACTTTAATTCGTAGGCACACCTATCGTGTCGTGATGTCGCCCCCAGAGCTCCACAAATAGGTCGGGGGCGGAGCTTCCAATGTCAGTACACTTCCGACGACCGTCTCATACCGACCCACCGACCGCCCGATCTGTCAGGCCTCTTTCATATGTTTCTTATTTATTCTTCACTCGATTCTCCGTTGAACAAAAAAGGATGTTCTTTCGGGAATTAATTGAGAAACATAAATAGCCGGACGATGCTTTAGTTCTTTGTTTTCTGTATTTGCTGTAATTCACAGATCTCTAGTCGTATTATACCAGCACTTGTTCATTAAAGTACGAAGTCAGTTCATTTCCACTCATGAAAAAGGATAAAGCTCTCGGCGTTGATCAATCCCTGAGGGATACGCCATGCATTCTACTTTACTAAACATCGTTTGGAGATGATTGAATGCATATCTGGCCTTTACACTGACTCGTGGTCGCCCGCTGATGTATCGAGCCAGTGCCGTTATCCTCCCGGACAGTTTGGTACCAATTTGCCGACCCTGGAGTGATGGAAGGGTGGCCCTGAGAGGCGGCAATCGATCCAAAGTGTATTGCAGAGCTCCTCCTCCACCACTGCACCATACGCGCCCTTTTCGGTTCCCAAGATTTAGAGAAAATCCACCAATAGAACCAGGAAGCTAGAAGCACGAGTGTTTTGAAATATATACCATTCTCTGTCTAACATTTCATGTTCAATAAAACACAATGTCTTGATAAGCATCATATTCCTAAGTGAGGAGCAGTAGGGTAACAACTGATATACGCTACTCGAAGCCAGATTTCTAGCACATAATGGACGATATGAGCCATACATGACTGGTACATACCGGGATAGCCTTACTGGTATGAGTCGCACAAAGTGTATCGCATTCGAGATGTTTCTTTTACTGCAGAGTTATTTTTCGGTAAACTTGGATTAATATTAATAGCTCCTTCAGCGTGGATGTTTTTCCAGGTAATTGCTGAGAGAACTATTTTTTATAAGCTACTATTTAAAAGGACACTCCTCAGACGAGTTTGTTCGCCTCATTGACTTCCACGGGAAAAATTGTTGCTGGTTGGGAGAGACTAAAATATCTTCGTTGACGGGAATACTACTGATGAACAGGTATCTAAGGCATCTCGACTTCATAAATATGGCAATCAGATGAGTGCGCGTCTGCGTGTGCTCTCGATTCCTTACCATTTGTCCTGGTGGATCAACCAAACTGTCGATGATCAGCACGATACTTGGTGTCTCGGTGTCTGGAGCATTTTGGCTCTTTTGATGGGAAATGTGAATGGTTTTCGACGACCGTCTCATGCCCATCTGTTGAGTCTCTATTCTATTTTCCATCCGACCCTCTGTTAAACAAAGGAGGAATTCTTCCTGAAATCAATCCAGCAAAGTTCTGGGCGTTGATCACTCCCTGAAGGACGCGCCATGCATTCGATTTCATTAAGCGTTATTACAGCTTATTTATTGAATATCTGGCTTCTACACTGACTCTCGGTGGCCTACGGATGTATCGAGTCAGCACTGCTAACCTCCCAGACAGGTCTGCTACCAATTTTCCGACCTCGCAGAGACGGAAGGCTTGATGAGCATAGGATGCGGGGTTGAACCCGTGAGTATTGTAGGGCGCCTCTGAACACTGCGCTACACGCGTCCCATTCGGCAACTTATATGGAAGAAATGACCTACATATGGGTCATAGTGTACCAATCTGGCCAGTTCCCCATTAGAGATGGTGATGCGCGCCATCGGCCGTGTCGCACACGCGTCGCGTCTTCTCCCATCCACTTTGCCTCCGTCCTTTAAGGTGAGCAGTACTGGTCGTGCTCATGCTGTGGTCTAGTAAACATGTGCCGGTTCTAGTCGTATTGCATGCTCTCTACAACTAGCAACCTAGTACTGTTTTCAGGTGCTGGCAGTACCAGAGCTGTCGAGGGTTCGGTAACAATGACGTTGAACCCTTAACACTATGTTTGTACACAGGGAAGACCAATTACATGTGGTGTTCAGAAAATTGTTGAGTTAAAGCTAAAACGCTGGCGTTGTCACAGTGCTGTCAACAACGTTTTTGGTAAAAGTGGACGAATAGATGTGAGATGACGTCATTCCAGTTGTCTGGAGACGTTAATTTTGTTCTGGAACCGTTGTAGAGCGTTTCTTACCCCATTTTTGCTTGTAATATATTAATTTGTGAATGTTTAGTTATTCTCTGGTATCATGACTCTACACGAGGACACGATTTCCTCAGCCAGGTTTCATGCACTCATCCATTTTAACGTTCAGTTTTCGTTTTAAAATTCAGCGATGGACGGGTTCTGAGGGATTTATTTGTGTCCATCAACAGTGCATTGTTATTGGTGGCGATCGATTTTCGTCTATTGAATAGAAGGTGGCGACCGGAATTTTGGTAAACACTGCTGTGTATCGGCTCACTTGATGATGATTAGTCATCCATTCCTTTCAATTGACAAAGTGTTCTGTTTTTTTTTTATTTCCTTACAAGTAGGAAAGGTTCATTTTTCCATTCTGAGTGTTTCCAATTGGCTCTGTTTTATTTTGCGTCGTCGTCGTCAACTTTCATCACCTTTAAGTATCCAGTCGAATTTTAGGTCTTCATGGCGGATTTGCTCAAAGGAGTTAAACTGCACAAGGGAGACGGTAGCACTGCGAATGCTGAAGATGCACTAAAGGTAATGGAAAATGACTAAAGTACTTTTTTTGCAGACAAATTTTACAGCATTTCTTATTGTCGAGTACTCTGGTCTATTACATTGCGTAATTGCATAATTTCTCCTAACGATTTACCATCTCATTGTGGCTAGATGGTGTTCCTGAGTGTCGGGCTGCGATATACAGCGGGGCATTCATCACGCTGGCAGGGTTTCCCAAATTGATAAGGAGTCGGGCGTTTCCGTCAGGAAGCCTAAGGGTAAACCAATACCAGGATCCACCATCATCTTGGTACTAAACTAGTCGCATGGTGGCAAATCTCCCTTTAGTCCAGAAGGACGGCGGCTGCCTGTGGTGGTGACGACCTAGGGCAGACTTTGGGCTGACTAACCTCAGGACTCCAGTGAACCACAATTTCTAAACTACCAAACTGAAAAAGTGAAAATTGTGCTGAGGCCCGCACAACCAATGAAGACGGGCCATCCAAGTATCCGAGTTCATAATTGCAATATATAAATTTAGTGTACCAATAGTTTAGGGTAAAGTTGTGGCCTTGTATTTCTCGGCTCATTGGTGTCCGCCATGCCGTCAGTTCACTCCCGTGCTGAAGGTTTGTGCTTTCTATGGCCTTCATTGTGTTTTGCTAACTTCTCTTTGTACTGTGCTTATTCCTTTTAAGTATGATGTAGTTTGTGTCTTAAAATATTTATTTGGTGGCTATCAGAAAGAAAAAAAACACTGCAGAGCTTTAAATTGAACTCTTAATCTTTAAGTTGTTCTAAGACCTTTTTTTATACCAAGAGATCGTAAACAGTCTTTACACGAGCCGTTTAAGGACTTTTACGGTGAATTGGTGGACGATGGAGAATTCGAAATTATATTTGTATCTTTCGATCGAACTGAAGCCGATCTGAAAAAGTATATGGAAGAGTGTCATGGAAATTGGTACTACCTTCCATTTGGCTCGTCTAAGATTCAGTACGCTAATTTCTTAAAACTTTTCGTAGTCCTTTCTTTCTGGCTTCTATAGTGATATAAGAGTTCTGTTTGGATGTAAAGAATTTTAGGGAGCTTGCTACAAAGTACTCCGTTAATGGAATTCCTGCTCTGATCGTTATCAGGAGTGATGGTAAAGAAGTCACCAAAAATGGTAGAAGTGATGTCCAGGTTTGTTTGCTACTTAGAGAGAGTTTTATGGTTCCTACCACCAACGGATTTTACAGGGTAAAGCGCCCAAAGCTGCACTTTCAGCTTGGAAATCTGCCTAGTTTCCATCAATGTGATAACGTTTCATTGACATTCTTCGTGTATTTGTGATTTCAAACTCGTCGACTATCTTATGTTCTAAATTCATTACCTTTTTGATTGCAATTACAACGAATAAAATTAGTACGTTCTTCTCTTCTATGCTATTATTAGCACATGTTATTGTACTTAGACATAGAAAGTCGACATCAGGAAACCCCTTTTGCCACGGTGAGGTAGTAAACCACTGAGAAGCTATGTGTATATGAAGCTATAGTATATATCCCGTCGATTGATTGTAAATAGGTGTGAGCTCATAAATTTGCTACCATAAGTTGTGTACCTGGAAACATTAGGTCTTCTCATCTCTTATTCGCAAAATCTTTCACCCTTAAATGTTGCACTCAAGGGAAAATAAGATTGTGTACAACTTGCGATTCATAATATGTATTCAGATTTACAACCCACAATAAAGGGTAAAAGGATAAAGCTCTCGGCATTGATCAAAATCCCTTAAGGATGTGTTACGATCCGACTTCATTAAACATCGTTTGGAGGTGATTGAATGCATATCTGGCCTTTACAGTGACTTGTGGTAGCCTGCCGATATATCGAGCCAATTTTGCTATCCTCCCAGACAAGTCTGGTACTAATTTGCCGATCCCATGGCGATGGAGGGCTTGGTGAGCCAGTAGCGTGGGAATTGATCCCAAGTGTGTTGCAAGGCGCCTCATCGACCGCTGCGCCATGCACGCCCTTGCTCAACACAATGGATGGGTTCTTCATGTCGCGGTTAAGTGCAAGTCGATTCAGAAAAGTACTATAGTTCCCACTTTCTGTGGTTGTTGATGAAACAGTCTGAACCATAGTGAGTTACAACAGCTATTTACTATTTTATATCATTACCCGCAAACAGCGTTGGGTCGTTTGGGCTTTTCCGAACAGATCTAAGAGTTGTCGTGTTCTGAGAATTCTCTAGAACAGTCAACATGACGTCTCCATTCTTCTTGCTTGCAAAATCTAACATAATGTTACCTTACAGCGTTAATTTAGGCATTCTATCTACTTTAATAGGTAGGGATAGAATTTAAACTTTAACTCCACTGCTTTATACAGTTTTTCTCTTCCGCTTTTGCTAAATGAGGTGCTTGGTGGTCATTTCCTGGTCTTCTTATTCTTTGCCAACCAAATGAGCTTTGCTCAGGAATACGTCGACCAGGCTTAACGAGTCATCTTTGGACCAATTATGGGTATATCGCTGGCTTATCTCATGAAACAAATTGTCCACGAAGGGCATTACTGCTGGTTCAGCTACATTTGCAGTGCTGTATATGAAGCTGCCTTTTGCGCACAACTTGAACATCGTGGGAGATCTTATTTGTAATACATTGTCGGATTACCACTCTCCATCCGTATAGCATGAAAGATTTGTACTTTCTTACAGCTTCTGTTAGGTAAGTGGAATTGTCTACACCATGGCGGTGGGTAGGGTTTTCATCATGTGCAAGATGGGCAGATGTCAGAGGAAGGACATGGAGAATACGTGGAAGTAGGAAAAGCAATTACAAGCAGAATACGTAGAAAAACTAAAGCGCAAAGCAAAAAGTGCGAGAGAAGGTGCGGTAAAATTTCTGCTTGTGACAGTTGTGATTTTTAAATCAATCTGCTCAAAACATTCCCGAAAGCACGTCAGTGGCTATGCTCTTCTCTAGGACCACCTTGTAAAAGATCTGCAATTTGTTAGTGGAAACGCGATGTGCCGCATCCTAGTTGGTAGATGAAGTGGAGAACGTTAACCATAAAAAGCTGTGCACTTGTCACGAGAGGTAGACTTTGGTGTTAGCAGGTCGGATTGACTTATATCTTTTATAACCGCAAAGCCCTATCCGCAGTGTTTTGATTTTGTGAACGGGAATTGCACCCTACACGTTTGTTCGGCTATCAAGCGCTAAAAAATTCATCATCCATTCGACTTCGTTCAGAACTTTAGAAGTGATTGAATGCAAATTTCATTGATTGAACATTTGCTCCATGCAATGACACACGTTGGTCTACCAATATGTAAAGTCAGTGTAGCTATCCTCTGATACGAGTCTAAAACTAGTTTACTCCATCCTAGAGGGATGTTAGGCTTGGTTAGCGGTGGGAGACGGATCGAACCAGTGACCATATGTGCTTTCAGAGAACTTCTAAGCACTGAATTATGCGTAGTAAGCATATTGAGTATACAATGTTTATAAATATCCGAGAACACGGGTGAAATAATCCATAACGACGAAGAAGAAGCGGCTGCGTGTTATCGCAATGCACTAAAAAGAAAGGATTCGGTTACCAATGGCGTAATAAATAGAGCATGCTATATTTTAAGGAAAAGGACGCTTGTAGCGCAGTGGTTGGAGGCGCCCTGCAACACACACGTGGAGCCGATCCCCGCGCCCATGGCCCACCAAGTCTTCTATTCCTCCAAGGTCTGAAAATTGATACCAAACCTGTGTGGGAGGATAGCGGCACTGACTCGATACATTGGTAGGCCACCGCAAGCCATTGTAAAGGCCAGATATGCATTATATCACTTCCAAACGATACTTAATTAAGTCGAGTGCATGGCGCATCGCTCAGCGATTGATCAGCGCCGAGAGCTCTATCCTTTTTATTGAGGGCTAACTGCTTGAAGAGGGTTTGAAAATTTTCATGTCATCGTTGCACAAAGGCCACTCTTTGTTTCGGTTACTTTTTTAGATTATTATTTTACATAACTGGTTGTCAAGCTTTTTGTAATGATCTCAGGAAACCTTGTGTTCGCTTCGTTTTCTTTGCTCATCGTTTTCTTCATCGTGTACAGTGGTCCTCGCATATGTTACGTGTTGTTTTGGCTGCTGCTTGAGGATTTCGTGTTCTTTCTTAATCTCTTAGAATGTTGATTGAGGCGACCCTCGCAATCTTAGAGATAATGTTAAATTTTTTATTTACTGCTTATTACAATTTTTCACGTCAGAGTATTATTGTGATACAACCACGATGGTGCTGAGATCTTTACAAAAGTCCGGACCGCAGGTGTCTGCGGTGGGGAACGAATGCTCTATTACCCTTTCCGGGCTAACACGTTCACCATTACACCATGTGTGTCCTTCGTTGCGCTTTTCGCTCATCTAGTTTTCTGTCTACCAATTCCATCATCGATTTGGAGATAGCCGGTCTAAAGTGTTCTCATGTGGATTGAGGAGAGCGTTGGGGAGCGGTTCGGACCACAATCTTCCATCCTCACGGACTGCGTCACTAACCACTCCGCTATCTCCACACTGTTTCGCTTACTGAACCAAGCAATTTCATAGATCGAGTCGTTTTGGAATTGTAAGCTGTTATCGCGAAAACCATTGGCGTTCTATTTTTCAGAAACGAAGGTGGCATTTGTTATGAATCTGAAGGATATTAGAATATTCTCTATTATTTGACCAAGATGTAATATGCTAGGAATATTGCATGAGGTATGAAATTAATAAGGGATAAACAAATAGAGAGTTCGAGGTAGATCAGTCCTTTAGAGATGACCATATGGGCTTTCCATTAAGGATTGTAGAAGCGATTGAATGTATATTTGGCCCACACAATCACTACAGAGAATCTACCAATGTGTGAAGTCAGTGTTCCTACCCTTCCAGACAAATCTGCTATCAGTTCGCCTACACCGAAGTTATGGTTCGCTCTGGGCGTGGAATCCAGCTGAAGACCGTGTCTGTATATATAGGGTACTTCTAATTAATAGACTATACGGTCCACTTTTAAATGAAGGAACAATAACTAACCATAAGTTTATACATTGCAAATCTTTCAGTAAACTCCTGTTTATGTTGAATTGTGTATTTCAAGATGAGGAAAATTGAGTAGAAACTTGGTACCATCAGGATCTGTGCCAGGGTAGCCGTAATAGCTTCATGCAGCATGTTAATTTTGTTCTAATCATAGTTCCTAATCGGAATTTCCAATTTCACCCAGGTTTATTTTCCAATCTTCCTAGGTGCTTGTGGGGTGGTGGTTATAGGTTCTTTGCAGCACACATTTGGTTCGATCCAGCGCCCCAGACTCAACTGGTCCTCATCCTTCCCTTCCTGGTCGGCAAATAGGTGTAACTTTCTTGAAAGGATAGCAGGACTGGATACATCCGTAGGCTACCGCAAATCGTTCTATGGGCCAGGTATGCATTCAATCATCTCTAACGATGCTGAATGTGGTTGAATGCATGGCGCATTCCCAAAGGACTGATCAACGCCGAGAGCTTCATCTTTTTCCTTTATTTATCTCTATAATGTGAACTTGTTAACATTTTTTCAGAACTAGACTGGAAATACCACCGATTATGAGCAATGGCTTTATTTTTTTTCCTCATAGCAACTACGTGCTGGTGATATATTCGCTCTGTCCAAACAACTGGAAGCCCGAAAAGCTTTGGTAGGAATTTCCTTGAAAAAACTTTCTCGCAACGTGACCGACTTTTTTCCGATCTGCAAGAGGCAGTTACTGGCCATAATGGCCACTTGCAGAAGCCTTCTCGCAGGTTTCTTAGCGCTTCAGGAAAAGGAGGCAATAAGAAGATGCCAACCAATGTGAAAACGTAGTGGAATCCATACAATTGTCCATGATGAAAGGACGTCGGGCAGGCATGCAAGCATAAAAGTAAGCTGAAAAATAGCGTTGAAAACCGTACAGTAGTTAAATAAGCACTAAGGAAAAATGGACAAAAAAGAACGAAAAGAAAATAGGAAAAAGGAAAGAAATAACAGGTAAAGGAAAGAAGAAAAGAGCAAAAAAATGAAGCGGCAGAAAAAAAATGACAATGAAAAATGAAAAAAAATGAAAGGAAAGAGAAAAAAGAGGAAAAAAGTTTGCTGCTGATCACTGCGAAAAGAGGTGAATCTAAGTATCCGTGATTCTTAGTCAGCCGAAGTAAACCGATTACCGTATGACTTGTCTCGAAGTGTGAGCGGCCGACGCACATGGATTGTTATGTTTCCATGGCGATTCATCGATACATTGCAATCCGAAGTCGCTGCTCGTTTCAGAATTGAATTTATTGTCTCCGCTAATGGTAGGGGCACAGCTTTTTGTTTGTACACAGTATTCTGTACTTTTACTTTGTACTTTGCTTGTTGCTTTAAACTTTTCGCCTGTTTGTTTCTATCAATTTATTAAGTTTTGCTAAAAATCTAAGTGCTAATGATGAGTAAGTAACTGTTCAGATGCTTATAATATAGTAGTGTAGAAGGTTCCTCAGAAGTAGAACTGTGCCGCAGTAGAATGCTTGTTATATGAGTATTATAGATGAAACAGTTAATATTTGTAGAAAGGTACGTCCACCCACGCCCTCCTTTCCTCGCACCATTGGTTATTAAAAATCACCCCTAATAAAGCGATAATCTTTCAATCCAGTAAGTTTTGCTGGAACACTCCATCAAGTGTTTTTTTACTTTATTTTATTTGATCCATTTTCACGCCAACTGTGCGGATCTCAGCACTTCTCATATTCGATTCGTTTCCTCGCATTCATCATCCACGAAGGTCTTCCAAGTTTTTACATGTGGTTTCGGTTGCTGCTTGAGAATTTTCATTTCATCTTGAATGTCGTAGAATGCTGGTCGAGCAATTCGCCTTGGAATCCTGAGATAGCCAGGCCGGAGCGTTCCCAGTTAGATTGCAGAGAGTGATTTTTTTCCCAGGCAAGTTTGGTACCAATTTCCCTACCTCGAGGGGGTTGAGAGGCTGGGTTGGCCCGAAGCGGAATCGAACGACCACCATGCACGTGATGACGGACATCACCACCACTGTGCTATCCCCCAATCAGGTATTTACTCATCTCATTTATAGCTTCACGTGATGCGATAGGTGTCGTCTTGGTATCCCACAGTGGAGTGCAGGTAGTGGTGGTTAGCAATTTTCATAGCGGCCTGTGGAGTCCATTCTTTGTAACGACTTTGCAATAATTTGCTATTTTTCCCAACTATGAATTGATTTATAGGAAAGAAAGATATATTTGCGACACGAAACCTGGATATATTCTCAAACATAATATCATCTGTTGCCTAGAATGCCTAGGAACGCCTTTGCTCGGCTCTTTCAAAGATTGCAAGGAGAATAGCCTTGAACAGCTTTCTACGACATTCATAGGAAGACGAAATCCTCAAGTAGTCGCCGAAGCAACATGCGAAATATTTGGGGACCTATGTGTACGACGAAGACGAGGAGAACGAATCGAATTCAAGAAGCGCTGACATCCGCTCAGCACTTGCGATGAAGGGTCATGATAATTAAAAAATTCCTTAAATCCGTCTTATTTTATTAGATACTCGTGCGACAGTATTCAGATATTGTGCTGGTCTGAGCGCTTTCTCCATTCCTTCCGTTGTTTTGCATCCATCGAGGCTGTCGAGATCGTATATGGCCTTGAATGACGCTTGAAGCGCTCTTACTTTCTCTTAATAACCTTTTCAATGATGGTCGGCGGTGATTTTCATTAGAAACCCGAGAGTGTTGGGCTAAGGTGCTCTAAGGTCGTTGCCATAAACACCTGCTCTTCTTTATGAATCGGTTGGAAATTTTCCTGTCTTGGGTAAATTCTATACCATGGAAAAGTAAGCATCTCTATAGCATCGATTAAAGTGCTTTAAAAATGTTCGGTATCAATCTCTGTACTGAATTTTCCTAGTTAAAGGAAATCGAAATAAAGTCATTGAATTATTTGTATGATTTTGTATGGAAATTTTTTGTAAAGAAGAAGAAATAAACGTGAAAACTATGGGAATTAGTGATCCATCATCATCAACAACATATGACAGCAATGGAAAAACCGTTTTTACGTGTTTCGTTTTTCCAGTTCGCTCTTGTGATACAAGCTGTAAGAGGCAGAATAGTCAGATGAGCATGATAGCCTGAAGACAACGAACTCTCTCAGAGTATGAAATCGCTGTCACCTGTATCACCTGTAGCCCCGGTGATCGTCGAGTGACTCGAACGGGCGCCAGTAAATCTTCCATTTTTTCCTTGTCGCATGCAAGAATAGCCCAGTGGGTTCTGCTCGCTCTAGGGACTCGTCGAACATCATATCTTTCTTCTAGGTTCTTCGTGAAGAACTCTGACCATCGGGTCGGTGGTCTTCCTGCAGTATGTTTGACATCCCGAGGAATCCAGTCACTAACGGCTCTGGTCCATCGATTGTCATTCAAACGCATTGCGTGTCCGGCCCACCTTATCTTCGACTGTCTGGCGTACAGAACGGCATCTTTGATTTTTGATCGTTCACACAGGTCGGAGCTTCGGATCCCTTCCCTTACTTGTGTGAAACGGGATACTCCTAACATCGCCCTTTCGACTCCGCGTTCGATAACGCTGAGTGATCTTTTATCCTGCTTACGCAGCCACCAGGTTTCTGACGCATATGTTAGGGCATGAAGTACCGTTGAGTCGAAAAGTGGGCACGGAGTCGGTTGTTCTTTGTCCTATCCACTACATCCTCGATACTCTTGAAAGCTCCTCAAGCCGCTCGTTTCCTTCTGCTCAGCTCTGGGGCTAAGTCGTTCATCACATTGATTTCCCTACCTAGATAGACACAACCTTCCCAACGGTTTACCACCTCATCGTAGCTGGGAGGTGTTCCTGAGTGTTGGACTGAGATATACAGCAGAAGCATTCGTCCCCCGGTAGGGTCTCCAAAGCTGAGGTGTCCGGCGTTTTCATCAGGAAGCCTAGCTAAGAGTAAACAAATACCAGAATCCGCCACCGTACTGGTGTCAAAGTCGCATGCTGCAAATCTCCCTCAGATCCACAAGGGCTACGACTGCCCTTGGTGATGAAGAGCTGGGGCAGACGTTGGCCAGGCTGATCTCGAGATTCCAGGGAACCACAATGGCTCAAGCAGCAAATCTCCGATAAATGGTGATTGTGCTGGGGTCCGCACAACCAGTGAGGACGGGCGGTTTAAGTGTCAAGTGTCAAGTGAGAGACACAACAAGATATTCGTTCCGTTGAGCGTGAATGGGGCATACGAAACCAATCCGTTCTTCATGAACATCGTTTTTGTGAGATTTAGTCGAAGACGAATCTTTCCACAGGTTTTATCACAGTCGACATGCATACGCTTCGTTTGGTTAATGCTTGTTCTTATATGGACGATGTCATCAGCAAAGCGAAGATGGTGTAACTGCTGACCGTCGATTTTCACTCCCATATTATCCCATGCCAATGCTCGCATGACGTTCTGGAGGGTGGCGGTAAGTAATTTTGGCGAGATGGTACCGCCTTGCCTAACCCCTCTTTTGACGTCAATGTTAATGTCGTCGTAGAATGGTGATACCTTGGTTGTAAAATTTTTGTACAGCTCACGAAGAATCTTTATGTGCTGAATAGGGACTCCTTTACTATCAAGGGCTTCCATGACTAATTCTGTTTTAGTTGAATCGAAAGCCTTCTGTAAATCGAGGAAAGTGAGGCAGAGCGGTCTTTTTTACTCTCGCGACACTTCAATAAGTCTTGTTATCCTGTGGATGTGGTCCATTGTACTAAATCCTTGTCGAAACCCTGCTTGCTCACATGGCTGTACTTCATCTACTGTTCTGTCAATCCTGTTTAGGATGACTCAAGTGAAAAGTTTGTAGACGACAGACAGCAAGCAGATTGAGCGATAGTTGCCGATATCGTGTAGATCACCCTTCTTGAACAATAAAACGGTCTTGCTGGTCTTTCACTGAGTGGAGAGCTTGCATTCAGACAGCTAACGTGTGAAGAGCCGAGCCAGTGTGTCTACGAGGACTGGCGGAAGGTTTTTAAAGTGTTTAGGCCTTATCCTCTCCTGACTTGGCGCTGTTCGATTTTTCACCGACGAAATGGCATGTCGGATTTCGGAAAGGAGAACCGGTGGTACGGCATATCCATCGTCTTTTATTTCATATGACGGGAGGTGGACACATCGAAGAGATCCGAGTAGCATTCGTGAATGATTTTCTCCATTGCCTTTCTGGACGCTGTAACCGTTCCGTTTGGGCGCAGGAGTGCAATCATTTTGGTCTTGTAATTGGCGAAGCTTCGGTGGGCTTTGCGAATGCTTTTCCCAGCCTCTGCAGATTCGGCCATTACTGCTGCTCTTCTCTCTTTAAGACCTTCTTTTGTCGCCTGTCTGCATTGTTTTGCAAGTTCGGACGTTAGTTCGCGGTTGCTTGCAGCTCATGCGATTCCACGCTGGCGTGTCATATCGAGTGTTTCTGGCGACAGACATCTCTTGGTGACTTTCAAACTCTCAGCTTTCATAGCGGTAGCGTGAAGATGTTGAATGAGCCGATCGTATTCTTTGTCGATGTTATCGACAATGGCATCTTCCCAACAAGCGACTAATGAACTGAGTGATGGAGTGATGTCAAAAGTGATGTCAGTTTTATTTGTATCTGGTGGATTTCATATGGAAAGTAGTAGTTGATGAAAGAGAGGTTCGGTAAATGATACAGTAGTATTTATTTATGTGATCTTATAAACTGGTCTTCTTAAGCTTACGCGAGGTTGTGTTTGAAAGTTCGATTTTCATTAATACTTTAACTTTTTTTTTCCACCGAATAATAAAAATGTTCTAATATAAAATACGTCCAGGCTCTGAGGAAGGTGAGGTCGCCGAAACGTCAGCCATCGATCAATAACATCAAAAACAACGACAACGAAGATCTGTACGAACCTCGCGTCTGCTTGAGAATATCAGTTTATAAGATCACATAAATAAATATATCAACTATCTATGCCGACGTTTACAGAAAGTCGGTCTTTCGAGCTATTGAGATACAGTAGTAGATACATCAGATAATAAAGAAGCTGCCAAAAAATGGTAGGTTTCTGCCAGGTTCTAGTAACTGCCTTCTATTCACTTCCTCTTGCGTTGTCCATTGTCAAGATGAGAAGGTACAAGAAGAAACACTGATTTGTTAAAATTGATTGATTGAGATGTGGAGAACTACTGCAGACTAGAACAAAAGGTTCCTCTTTCTGTTTAAAGTGGTTCCTGCTGTTATAATTTACCTATATTGCCGCTGTATACATTTTAAAAACTATTCCTTAGTTCATTCTTCTCGGCGCAGTATTTCTTGACTCCTTGTTCATAATGAGTTTATTCTGGTTTAAACGCCTTTCAAGACACGAAAACTGGACGCTTTTTTAAATCATGGATTCAAACTTCGATATGACCGAATGGAAGCCACCTGAAATGTCACTAGAGTTTGATTCAGGAATGTACCTCTGGCCGCACAACGTGTAAATGGGTGTTTCGTCATGGTGGCGAGGACGTGTCATAGCTTCCTATCAGCAGATGGCGACGGCCATCAGAAGTCGACACTGCACTTTGACCAAAGATTTGCAATGGTCCGTAATTTGGAATGTACTCGAAAGAAGAAAAGATCTGTAAATAACCACAATGTTGCTGAGATATTTGCAAAGTTCCGGACCACTGGTGTCAGCGGTGAGGGCCGAACACGCTATTACCCTTTCCTGGGGCTCGCGCGTTCACAACCACACCATGCGAGTCCCTCATTTCGCCTATCTTTTAGTCGTCCGATTTGTAAACAGATACCACACGAGTTGAATACAAGAGATCGTCGTTTTCAAGTGAACTCAGTTCTTCCTTCACGCAATAAAATCTCACTGTAATGTTTCATCAAAACTGCGCCCTGTACGACAATGATATGTTCAGCTGTGCGATTGGACAAACGCACAGTTCTTGAGCAACTGCAGAAATTTTTGTCTTCTAAGGGTAGCTAAAGCGACTCTTTCGGACAGAACATTGAAATTATCTATAATAACTTATTAAATCCTGGCTTAACGACCGCAGTAGGGATATGGTGCCCGAAATGATGAAATTTTTCGAAAATTGCAAGGTATTTATGCAAAACTGGTTGGCAGAAACCAAAACTGGTTCGGGTTCTCCTGCACGACAACACTCGATTAGACCTCGTACATCTAGGACTGCAGGATTTGGGTGATCTCGAATAAGAAACACTTCATTCACCATACTGTTCCTGCATATTATCGGCCATGTGTTACGTACTTCACGGATCTTAACAAGTACTAGTTGAGAAGTTCTTCAGTAACTAAATCGTTGTTAAGAAGTTTCAGGAAAATTTGTTTACTCCAAATCTCCTTCTTTGTAGTCGCTTTTTATCTAGCCCCCATTTTTTTTATGGCTGAGTATTATGTGAAATATAGCCAATGATGCTGAGATATTTACAAAACTCCGGACCACAGGTGTCTGCGGTGGGGAACGAACGCGCTATTGTTCTTTCCGGGAGCTAACGCGTTCAGGACCACACCATGCGAGTTCTTCGTTTCGCCTTTCTCTCAGCCGTGTTACTGACCTATGGTCGCTATCAGCAATCACCTTCTTCTTTCTTTTACCGATTACACAAATTCATAAAGTTATGTCTCAGATAAATTATATCATTTCAAAGTCGCCGTTCAAGGAGGCTACGTTCTTGCACCGATCCACAATTTCTAAGAAGACTCGTCAACTTCTACAATTGAAATGCGTTCGTGAGACTTTTTCAAGGGACTTTTCGCAACAAAACACTGAGATTTCTCTCATTAAAAAGATAAACATCATTGTCAACCTCGTGTAAGCTCATCAAAGAAAGAATACATACTGAGATTTCTATCTTGTCAAAGGTTTTTATGGTTTTATGACAATAGGGGCGCGTGTGGCGCAGTTGTTGGAGGCGTCACTGCGACACACATGTGGCATCGATCTCCGCTTCAACGACCCATCAAGCTTTCCATCCCTTCAGGGCCGGCAAATTGGTACCGGAATTTTCCGGGAGGGTAGCAGCACTGGGTCGATACATCGGTAGGCCACCGCGAGTCATTGTAAAGGTAAGATATGCATCCAATCACCTCCAACGATACTCAATGGAGTCGAATGCATGGCGTATCCCGCAGGGATTGATCAACGCCGAGAGCTTTATCCTTTTTATCCTTTTATGACAACAGACAATACATATCTCAATTGAGAAGGTGGAAATATACCTATATAGGCGAAGACAAGATCAAGGATCCAATTTTCGTTTGACAAAGCCCAATGAGTACATAACGCTGCCATGCTATATGAATCCTCCTATTCTATCCCTCGTTTCTTAAGTAGAATAAATTTTTCCTTGACAATCTTATCGAGATAAAGGTCAGGTGAGTTATCAACAATTTTAAATACATCCTAGATCGCAACGAGTCGTCTTTGTGTTAATCGGGGGCTACCGCGCTCACCACCACACCGTGCGGGTCTTTCGTTTCACATTTCTCTGAGCCAGTTTTCTACCTAACGGAGCCATCAGCAATCACCCGT